TTGGCATAAAGGTTCAACCCTAAGCCCATATCTTTTTACCTTAATTTTGAATGTGTTCATGGAACATATCAAAGAGGTAGAACAAAGATGCATGTTTTTTTATATATTATATAGTTCTACTTGGAGAGACGGAGGAGGATTTAAATGAGAGGTTGGAGGTTTGGAGACGACATTTAGAAATGCATGATTTTCGCCTAAACAGAAGTAAGACGGGATATATGGAATGCAAGTTCAACAAAAGAAGATGTGTTTCTAAAATAGAGGTGAAAGTTGGAGACTATATCATCACTCAAGTCACACAGTTTAAACATCTAGGATCCATAATACAAAAGAGTGGATAAATATAAGGGGATGTAAACCTTTGAATTCAAGTTGGGTGACTGAAATAGAGGAGGGCTTCAGGAGTTTTATGTGACAAAAAGTTAGCGTTCTCTATGAAGGGAAAATTTTATATGGATTGGGGTAAGACCTCCGATGTTGTACAAGACAGAATATTGGGATGTTAAGAATCAACACGAGAGTAAAGTAAGTGTAATAGAGATGAAGATATTATGTTGGATGTATGGTAAAACTAGACGGGGCAAAATTCGAAATGAAAATATTATAGAGAGTGTTGACTAACATCTATAATAGAGAATATGGTGGAAAATAGACTTAGATTGACACTCTCAATTTTATAAAATGTAGATTTATATTCACTTTTAGTCCCCCTACTTTAATAGTTTTATTATTTTTTTTAATTTCACCTGTTCTAAAATTCAGCTTTTTGATTCTCTATTTAATAGTTTTTGGAATTTTCCCCCTCCACTTTTGCAGATGGTGCATTAATAATTAAGATTAAAAAAAAATTAATGAGGTGAAAGTGGTGACTAAGTTAAAAAATTAATATTTATAATATTATTCATTTTTAATCAATATTTCTATCTTAAAAAATTAAAATGTTTAATCCGTTTAAAAATTAATTTGTTAAATTTAATTTCTCCTTCAATCATCTTAAACATCATAATTCACCTTCACCACCACTTTCATCATTACCCAATAAATAAAATAATAAATATTTTTTAAATTAAGCCAATATTAGTAAAAATAATATGCAAAATCATTAATGATTGGATTTTTCCTAAACCCATATCAATTGAAATTTCCCTTCAATCGAACTTAAATCAATTTCATTATATTATACGAACCCAATATCTTGTGTAATGGGGGTTTTAGAAATATTAATGGGGTTTCTGGTGTTTATAAATGTTAATGGGGTTTAGAGCTAGCTTGCACAGAGTAATGAGAAGCCTTGCATGTGTGTTTCTCAAGGTGAATGATTTGATCATCTTCGGCGTTATATAAAAAATTACCTAGTTTTATGACGTATAAATTTAATGGTCTAATATGAATCTACTTTAGATTTTTTTGTGGAATTAAGTCTTTCGTTTTTCTCATCCCTTATAAGATTCAAACTTGTATCGTTTATTACCTCATCTCCTAGCTATGGAATGGTGGTTACATCAATCTCATCTTTTCTCATTTTGAGAATACTTTGATAACACTTTTGGACAATCTTTTGAATTACTTGGACCAGCTCAATCGCCAGTTAGATAACAAAGACTTCATGCTTAAATGTAGAGTGGATATGACGACCCCCAAGTAGATTGAGGGTGTTTCACCCTACAATGATGTTGATGGTGATAAGGCGTTTACTACGAGCTATTTTACCATGATCTCCTTTGTGCTCTGTTTTAACCCGAACATCGTCTCGAGTGTTATGTGGTCCTTCACCGGTACATGTTTGCCAAAGAGACCAACTAAGGAGTCTTGGAACGTTCGAATGTCATCTAGATCAAGTTAGAGTTTCTCAAAAGAGTCCTAGAAAAAATGTATGTTGATCTTCTAGGTTCGATTAATACTTACTTCACGCCCCAATTTTTGTACTGGAACGTGATGACCATGTGATCATTGTTATGAGGAAGGATGTCAGCGATATCCTTTCCAGAAAAGATGATTTTGGAGTCTGGCTCCTTCTCCACCTCTCCTTTAGCGAGTATGATAGCCGTTAAAATATGCCCAGCGTATTTTCGATGGGAAGAGTTGGATTCTCGTCTGTCGGCAAACACTCTTGTGATAGTGTTGACGGTGGCACATGTGCCTTCTTCTACCATTTGGTTGGAGAAGGTGACTGAGGTAGTTGATAAATGGTAATAAGAGTGGCTTAGGTATGTTTTATTAGGTCTCACAATGGAAATCAATTGTACTTGTTAAAAATGTCCAATGAAAACTGCCCTCTAAATAAGAACTATTCGTAGAAATATTATATTAGTTTGGAAGAGGTCCTAACAAAAAAAACACAACATCCATCTATAATTTATGTTCCTATCTTAGTTATATGTTTTCTTGTAATGTTTTAAGTATTTTATAGTGAGAATCTTAGCACCATGTTGCTGAAAAGCATCCTAAGTTGAGATTTATATTGAAGTGTTTAAATGTTATGAAATACCACATATCTCTGTAAAAAAAAGTTAGTAACAATGTTGTTATAAATGGTATATTTAAGTTAGTGAACAATGTTGTTGGTAGATATTTGTTGAGGTATTATAAGGTGAGTACTTCTATTTTGTTCCTCTTCTTCTATTCGCTCATGCTATTATCATTATATGTGAAGGTACGAGCCTACATTCGAGTATAACTCAGCCGTATATTGATATAAATAATTTTGAGTTGAAATTCACTTTATTATTCATGATACAACATAACTAATTTTCAAATTTAATAATCGATGATCTAAATATACATTTGTCTATTTTTAAAAAATACTATGATGTTCTACAAAAAATTTACAGTGTTACCGATGGTGTAATAAGACTACAACTCTTTTCTTTTTTTTATTAAGGGACACGACCAAAGCATTTGTTATGTTCTACGTTGATGAGTGTTAGTGCAAAATAATTTCTAACTTCAATTGTTTTATTATGTCAGTTTGAACATACTCAAACTTCCTCATTATAATAAATCCAAGTAAATAATCTTATGACTATTCATTATGAATATTACCATATATCTTTCAACGAATGCAAATAACAATGACCATTATAAAAATAAAAATAAAAGATAGCGTTTAATACATGTATCTATGGATTAATAGTGAAATGTGTTAGATATTTGTCTGGGTTCACGAAATCTTTGTGGGGATAATTCTTGAAGAACAATCTGCTTCTGACAATAAAGAACAGATCAGGAATGTAGAGAGAAAGTATGATTTTCGTTATTTTGTGTGTTAAAATTGAGGCCAAATGACTCCTAATATAGGAGATTAATAACACAAACTGAAAAGACACAACTGTTCAAAAATTTCGAACGGATTCAACTGTTCAGAAAAATTTCGCTCGGGGCGCTGCCCCGCACCCCGCCAAGGGCTTTGCCCCTGGCACCCCTTTTCAATTATTCGCATTCAATTGTACGTTGGCTCGACGAGTGTGCACTCCGCACTACCCTAACTCGTTTCCAAGCTTAACGCATAATTGCATCGGCCTACAATAAATCACATTACTACTAAAATACATTGATGATACTAAAATCACCAACAAAATGCCCCCACAGTGGAGAAAATATACATGCAGGAGGCAACTATTGGATGCAATCATCGCAAACATTCCAGCAAAAAATAAACGGTAAATGATGTAGTATCCAAATCTAAAAATAGATTGCGACGACTCTTAAGTAATGTCTATGTCAATGAGATAGTTCAGTACACAATATCATTATATATTGCACTTTCATCAACAAATATGATTAGGCCAACTAAATATAAGAAATATGTATGATTGTGCATAATTGGTGATGCTTTATGTGCTCTTTACTGTTGTGATGAGTAAAAGGAAATGTCAAATGATGTATGTGCAATGTCTCCACCCATTTAAACATTACATGTCATCCATGGACTCAGAGAATGTTGTGATGAGCCCGAGGAAATGTCAAATGATGTATGTGCAATATCTCCAACCATTTAAATATTACATGTCATCTATGGACTCAGAGAATCTCATTTTTAATCTTCATGGTGTCAACTCTTAAATCCTCAATCAACATGTCTACTGTCTCAACTCTATGAATCAAAGTATAGTTCAAACAGTGATCAAATAGACATATAGAGTTAACACAACACGGTATCAACTCTTAAATCCTCAATCAACATGTCTATTGCCTCAACTCTATATGGTTCTAACATAAATCAAATAGACAGATGGAACTTACACAACACGTAGTTTAATGTATTAGTTATCTTACCAATAGATAAATAAATAAAAATGATCTTTCAGAGTATCATCTCAATAAAAACTTAGGTTTTGACTTGAGTGGCTTTAGAGTAAGGATACCTTTATACTTGTTTCTATCTCTCTCTAATTCAATCAATCTCAACAGATAACTTAGTTTAATTATCTTTTCATCTCTCAATTACACTAATAAAGTTATCAAGTCACAGTTATTCCAAATTCACTCAAACCAAATTCAAAAACTTTCCAACGGTTCACTCAATAAAAACTTCCATCATTTCAGGATCTATCTTTTCGACCTTCAAATTACTCACATTCAAAATCTATCTTTTTGACCTTCAAACTACTCTAATACATGTATCTTCCGATCATTGAAACCTCTAAGATGTGGGAAGTAGAAAGATAATTTGCCCCAAATTAATCCTCTCATTAACCTTCAAACATCAAAACTAATCCTCTCACTGACCAAATTAAAATAAATAATACTCCAACTTTTAACACATATAAGACAATTAAAGATTTCAGCATTGTTTGAATTGTTCATATATCAGCGAATTGTTCATATATCAGCAAGATGATCATCGTTATATCTTCAAAGGAGTAAGACGATTCAGCTGTTTTTTATTTGTTTTATCTTTTGTTTCTATGAGGCGACCTTGAGAAGAACAGAAAATTGATCGAGTCCCAGTAAACAAAAATTATGTATTACCATTACTGTGACACTATTCCTAATTCATACTAGGATTCAACTTTACAAGAGAATCTATTGAATGTATCAAAATCTAAGAATATTATGGAGGTATTATCCTTCGTTTTGAGTGTTCTAGCCTCATTCAACAACAAACTAGCAATCTTTTCTGCTGTATTATCTCCTTCTGTATTGTATCGGTCCTTCATCTGTGCAGTAGAAAACGCAAATTATTAGAGCAAGTTGGTAGGAAATAGGGGAAAATGTATTATAACTAGAAACAGGTTGTTAATACAATACCTGAAGCACTAGCTGAATTGTCTTCTTCATGCTAATGACGTCCCATAACCCATCACTGAAGATTTAACAGATGTCTAAGTTATATTCAACATGGTCGAAAGAAAAATAAAACGTAAACGTGCAAAACAAATAAACTAGAAACTATTTGAGGTGGGAATAGGGGTGGCAAACGAGCATGTCCGCTCCGTTTAGGCCCGTCCCGCAAAAGCACGCAAAACACGAGGTGGAAAAGACATAGTTAAGGGTGCGGGCCTAAAACCTTAGCCAGTCCCGCACTAAAGTGCGAGTGGGGCGGGCCTGCGGGCACGGCATCTTTTAAGCCTAAAAATGCATATCATTATGTTAATGCCCATGCACGCAAAAGCCCGCAAAAAAACGGGACGGGCAGGGCGGAGTGGGCACATTAAAGGGTGAGGGCCTAAACTCTTGACCCTCCCCGGACTAAAGTGTGGGCAAAACAGGCATGTCCAACGGGTCGAGCCCGTTTTGCCTCCCCTAGGTCGGAAAGACATGGTTGAAATTTGCAAAAGTTTTAGAAGGAATAAGTTCCCTTAAAGAGAGCAAGTGAATCTGAAAATAAAGCCAGTTATTTCACCAGAATTGAATAAACCCTTATTTGCTCACTCACAGTGGAAAATAATAATCAGAATATATGTTTGGCTATGGAAATTTATAAAGAAAAATCACCTAGCTAGAACAGCAAAAGCCTTGCTTGCTTGGTGAATATGCACAGCCTCACTTATATAAGGTTGTGAACTGAACCGAGAATCCTGTTGTTTTAGGAATTTGTCGCCGAGCATCCTTGCAAGATTTATACCTGTATCAAGTTAAGGACCACAATCAGCAAATTACCATGTCAATATTGTAGCCTAAGAAAATTCTGTTATTGCGATCTATTCTTCCTTCATACCATATAGTCGCTTTTCCCCATCTTTCAATGGTTCTCCCGACTCTTCAATTCTGCGTCTTTCAGAATAATTGCTTATCTTGTGATCTTCTGTCATTTTGATTTGTTGCCCATTAACACTGACAAAAAAGTTAATAATCAGTTTTATACAGGCATAGATGGACACAAATTCAAATTCCTTTCCTTTTAACCAAGTGTAACACGGGCTTCTATTTGTGATGCAATTGTTGTATATAAGTCAATACCGAAGTGCCATAAAACTGCTGATTGCTATCAACAGCAACTTGAAAATTCTGACCGAGACTCCGTTCACCAATTTTCTCTGCTATCCCCACTTTGAAAAATTCCCATAACCATGGGAGTCTCAGACACAGAAAGAAAGAAAAGCTAGCATCAACCATCATAACCATGCTATTGTTTCCGATAGCCCAGTAGTCACATTGCCTACCCATGACCCATTCAAAATTCAAACAAGTCATTCCAAGTATTCGAATTGGCTAGATAAATATACCTCATAATGCAGGCAGAATCTCCAACATTTGCACACTGTGCATAGAAATTATCATCACAGTCAGCCCACACCAGGAGCAATGTTGCTGTACATCCCTGCATAAAGTTTGTTATTAGAATATACCAACCATATATACAAAAGTTTAGAATAGAAAATAAGACAAAAAAACTCATGCATATATAAGGATAGGTTAAACAAGACCAGAGTGGGAACACGTAAGTCAAACAAGATCAAAACGACCACACATTACCTCATAGAAGTTGTTTATGCGTGCTTCTGTTTGAGAAAATGCATCTCGAAGAATATCCGAAGCATCACGAAGTGAGAAAACCCTCTCTCTTTTTAATGAATCCGATAATATACTAGCAATTACTTCAGGAAAAAGTCTGAAAAAATAATTACAGAAAGTTAGTAATTTTTGCAGATAGAGAACATTGATTTTGGATGGAGAAAAACATGTGTTCGTTGAAGGTCGACTAATTACAAGGGAATGTGTTCTTTGGTAGTAAACATTTTCTTTTACTATATAGATCCTAATTTTCTTAGCAAATTGCCAGTAGTGATATTCTCCGTGCTTAGACACCGTGTCATTATACTATTATAGTTAGCATCAGTTAATTTTATTACGAGTAGATATCCACAAGAAAACTATAGACTAGAAAATATCAGTCATGTGGTTTGTGACAATTGTGAGAAGGGGCTAAAATTTACTTCAGAACAAATGCAAACACGGGCTATTGAACCTCAAAGTGTTTGACATGGCTTACTGTGTCCTCACTATCTTACATATGTTGATGGGCTAAAATCCTAAAGCAATTCCATCATAAAAGTCAGTGAAGATAAAAATTATGAGGTGAAGTGTCAGCATCCACTACTGGTGCAGGACAAATGACAATAGAATTCACTTTGCAGCAAAACACTAATAGTGAAGGTGCAAACGATGACAAATGAAAATCAGCAAGACAATAGATTTGTTAAATTACATGTATTCAGACAAGGGAGGAGGAAAAGAAAGAAATTAAATAATGAAGAACATTCTCTTGTTTACAATGATGTGATAAAAATACAAAGCACCAACTCCTACTTATACTGGCATTAGACTCCTAATCCTTATCCTAATCAAAACAGAAAATATAATGAAATATGGAATCCAGTCCTATAAGACCATCCAAGGCAGTTTAAGATAAGAGTCACAATACATCAATACAGTCAATTGAATACAATACTTCATATTTAACAATCCGATCAACTACGGTATGAAAATGAGTGAAACTGAAACATAAATCTATGTGCTAAATGTATATGTTACTAAAGGATATGGGAGAAAGTTATAACAGCAACGACAAATTATAGAACAAACCGTAGAAGATGTTTGGATATTATGGTGATATGCATATTAATGAACTAAAGAGACCCCCGCCTTCAATCCACAACTATTGAGAAAATACACTTTGACTAGATTAAATCATTTCTATTCATCAAGTCCACAGGCCATAGCCACCAAAATAGGGCAAAGTATAGAACTGGCAAGCATTAACCTATTAGTTTCATTAAAATGGCAACCATCAAAAATGGCTGACCTAAGGCAGAAAATACTAACTTGCTAGCAGCTTTAGCAGCCCCATCACCACCGTGCCCATCACAAATGCCAAAAATACCAAACTGAAAATTAGGCACAGAAATGGGTTAGCTCCCTCACAGAAGAGAGAAATAAAGCAGTTGAAGAGATCTATCTATACTGGAAGAGAGATGATAATAAATCCAGAACCTGATCCAGCCCAGGTAAAGGCCAGTGATAATAGCAAACATCCTCCATAGGAAGTTTCTTTCCTCCTCGACGCAAAGACATGGGATCTGATGTCATACCAACTCCAAAGGGAATGTGATGATGGTTTTGCGAAGTAATATGAACCTGTCATACATTAAATCACATAGCCAGATTAAACAGGAAGGTTTTTTCCGAGTATTCCATGTCAATGTAAATGACAGGGCAGTGCAAAACAAACACCACCAAAACCTTTCCGACTAGGTAGGGTTGGCTACATCGATAAATAAATCTAAATCATAAAGCACTGTCATGAATCATATTTAATGATAGACACTTCAATTTCAAATCCCTTTTGATGGCTTGGCCCCAGTGTTGTCACTTGTCAAATATAGGCCATGGCGGATATCTGTGGCATGTTTTGGCTCTCCGCCATGGCGGGATATCGGTGTAAAATGGTGGCGCCATATGTCTGACTTTTGGCTCTCCGCCACCGACAACACTGATTGACCTATACTTTTCTTCGGTCTCCCCTGACCTTTAATACTGGAAGAATGAGTTATTCTAACAATTAAAATTAAATTTTGATTACAATAGAAACTCTGGAAAGACATAGAGCTTTTTCTTTAAATGAACAACAAATAACTCCTCATAGGAGGGAGGAGATTGAATTTGATAAAAGAAAAAAAGGCTTAAAAAATAAGATTTTAATTCCATACCAGTGACTTTAGAATTAGTCCTTATTTGAATTTCACTCATATTTAGTCATTGAACTCAGTAGCTATTAAAAATACATTACTTTTGAGAAGCAAAAATGTGCTATTTTGTTAAATGTAATTACCAAAAGGGAATTAAATCCAGTTAGCGACAAATTTCAAATATTGACATTTTTTCAAGGACTAAAAACAACATTCTTAAACCAAAAATAAATACATTCCAAATTTGTTCTAGCTAAATTCTCATTTTGAACACTTAAGTTATACTAAATGTTTTTGAGAGAAGGTCGCATTCTATGTTTTATCAATAAAAAGTTTCCTACTTATGCATCCGCGTACATGAAACAGGACAAATTTCAAAAAATCCACACAATTCTTAAGTCAAATATAAATACATTCCAGATTCGATCTAGCTAAAGTCTTATTCTGAATGCATAACGTATAATGATTTTTCTTGGGAAATAGCCACATTATATGTTTTATCAATAAAAGGTTTCCTTATGCATCTGCATACATGAAACAGAGCAAATTTCAAACCAAAACAAATAAACTCTAGATCTAGCTAAATTTTCATTTTGAACGCATAAGCTATATTGAACGTGTTTTGAAAGAAATAGTCATATTCTATGCTTTATCAATAAAATTTTCCTTATGCATCTGCATACATGAAACAGGACAATATATTTCCATGGAAAACAAATATTGGATTGTAAAGGAGAGCAAAATACACTACAATCATAAATTACAAACTTAAATTTATTTGACCTATAAAAGACATACAGTCTCTTCATACAGCTAGTATCGTGTCTAGTATCAGTATCATCATGTCATGCATATAAGTTTAAGCTAGCTTTGCATCAATGAATAATAGAAAACCTAAACAAAAAACAACACTTACAATTATTTTTGATGTTGTTCCAAGTGTTATAACATCTCCATTAGCAAGATTCATTGGATCTCCCCAATGCCTACTTCCAGTGTCAGGATGGTTGATTGACTTAGAATTCAAAAGTGTTCCATTCAGGCTACCCATATCAACCAACTCCCATTTCAAATTCTGAAAAACCAAAATCAATTTTAACAACAATTATTACACAGAATAACACACACATATACGAATCTTTAAAATAAAAAATTCAATTACAAGTCTAAAAGAAACAAATAGCGCTCACATCCAAATTCCAGTTGATCAAAGCATGCTTTCCCGACACTTCCGAGTCCTTGATCAACAAATCACTAGGAGAAACCCTTCCCAAAGTGAGCGGGAAACGGGAGGGATTTGTCGACTGAACAGACCAACGTTGTCCACAAGAAGGACCACTGATTACCTCCAAAGTAAGGCAGCTTCCTGCACTTCTAAACCAAAGATTGTTGAGCACATTAAAGCAATGCAAATACACAAACAAAAAAAAAAGTTCAACTCAATGACTAAAAAAAGAGCTCAAGAAATTACTTTGTTCAGTGATATCTTTTTGCACAAAATCCTGCAATCTATCATTTTGATAACTGAGTTTAGGCGGAATTTGAGCTAAAAGCGGTGGAGGAGGAAGCTTAAATATTTGACCAACATCAGCAGCAACAGCATCCTCAGAATGATCAGAGATTACATCAACAATCAAAGTATCACCTCCACCGGGGCCACCTTGATGAAAATTATGCGAAATAGAAAGGTTATGAAGCCTTTGCTTATGAACAAGTCCTTGTCCATGTGTTCTGGGAGAACGAAAATTAACTTCATTAGGATAACACGCACCTTCAAGATCATAATCTCTCGGCAATTCATTGTTCAACGAAGCATTATCATTAGCATTAGCACCATCATCAATAACAAGTGGTCGCTCTAATTCACCAACAGAACCCTAAATCAATTGAATGGAAAATTGGGATCAGAATTAACGATTAGGTTATAAGAAAAAAAACCGTAAAGATAAAGAAGAACCTGTTGGATTGAAGAACGAAAACGAGAAGAGAAAAAGAAGCGCCATGGTTTGAAGAGAAAAAAGAGGAAGATGAGGATGAGAAGAAGCATAAGGAGAAGAAGCACAGTCACAATCGTATGTTCCATTTCTCTTTCTCTCTCTTTCCTTCGCTTCACACACTTTCAGATTGCGTTTCGGTTTCCGATTATTTCGCACTTTGAAATGGTCACTCTTTTTTTTCTTCATTTTCAAATGCAATTTGCTTCTTTATTCAAATTTAATTTTTTTTAACTTTCAATAACAAATATTATCAAATATTCATGATTTATAAAATTTCAATTTATTCTTTTAAAATATATTATAATTATCTTTTTGAAAAGGCCAAAAGATTATAAATTATCATTGAAAAAGTGAAACAATAAACTTATTAAAAAATACTAATATCTGAAATTATTTAAAATTATAGAATTCATACATTATTTTAAAATTATAAAAAGATGGAGTATTTGATTTATTAGCCAGTAATAAATGAACTAATTCAAGTTAAAGGATTATCATTAGTCTTATTTTAAATATTAATAAAGAAATATAACACTTTTTATTAATTAATAATGTGTTTTAAATATACATTCAAACAAAAATTATTAAAAAATATTAGAACACGAAAATTATAACACTTATTTTGATCTAATTCACAAATTACGCATCACTTATTATTTTTTAAATATCATTATAACAATTGTAATAACTAATTGTTATTCTAGTGAGAGATATAAGATTAATATCAACACCTTTCATGTTGGTTTTGGAACCAACAAAAGTACATTTCATGTCTTTCATTAAATTTAAATAGAACTATAAGATTAATGGAAGCATAACAAAAACAACTAAAAAATTTAAGAGTATCAAGAGTTGCAGGATACTAGCGTCACAAAGAAGAACTTAAAGAATTAAATATAATCACAATATAATACATATAGATATAAATTATAATATATTAAATATAATAATAATAGATAAAGAATTATATACCTTCATTAGAAGAAGCGATATATGGTGATCGAAAAATACAATTGATAGAGAATAATGAGAGTGAACTATCTTATGAATGTCTAGATTTTTAGGATTCACTAAGCTTATAATTAGACAATTACTAGTTAAACACTTGAGGACATGAATATTTTGTTGGGCTTAACAAAATCGTTTGGCCCATCACGGTTTATTTAAAAATAAAGTTTGAAAAATAATTCACTAATAATAAATAATATAATAATAATGACTATAAATATTTTTAAATTAAAATAATTGAGCAAACTTTATATTAATGATAATCTATTATGTCTACTAATATAAATTCCAAATAAAAGTTTACATTATTAATATAACATAGTTTTTTTTCACGTGTCTAAGATATTTTTTAAGAAGAACTTAATTTAATTTAAATGATGTGTAGAGAATACTTAATATTTATTGAAAAAAAATTAAAAATATACTATCAATAAAATATAAATTATTTAGTTAATTGAATATGTGGTATAGCTCAACTTGTAGGTGGTGTAGCTAAAATAAAGGTGCAAATTTTGATATATAATTGAATATATGAAGATAACATTTATTTATATTTATGTATTAGTGGAAATAAGTTAATAAATTTTTTTTAATATATATATTATTTTGATCAAGTATTGTAAACTAGTATTTTTTTTTTTAATTGGTTAAGTGATAGCATATATTATTCATGTGTGAGATTTATAAAATATTTTATAATTTTATACTTAATTTATTATAGTTTTCATATTTTTATCTAGAAGCTGTTGAGAAGATACTCTACTAATATAACATACATTTTACTTTTAATTAATTGTTTTATGAAATACTATTTTTTAAGCAATTCAACGATAATAAATATTTTTTTTGTCTATGATTTATTTGATAAAATTAATATTTCATAATTTCTTTATATTTTTATACATATGAGTATTATTTTAATAAAATCAAAAATATTTATTTGTATGACTAATTTTTGATATGATACAAATATTATCCATATGATTTATTTTTTGGTGTATTTTAGAATAAATTATAATTTTTATTTCCATATTTTATCTCATTCATGCAATTAGTCATCAAATTTTAACGTTTTGATCAACCTCCTCACAATTTTGTATTGAAAATTGATTGCGTGACTATTTTTTAATGATGTATAACATTTATTTTTTTTATTTTTTTAAGTTTTTCAAATGTTTTTTTGAACAGTTTTTTACACAATTGCACTAATTGATGATGTCTCCATTTTTTAATAACATATAACTTATATTTTTTATCTTTTAAAATTTTGCAAATGCTCATATATGATAATTTGTCACGTTTTATTAGTGACACATAGTACTGACAATGAATCGAACTAACTCGAAAATAATTTAAATTCGGTTTGATGATTAAATTTTTGAACTAGGTTCATGAATCAAATGAGTTGAATATGAGACAAAAACTAAATTCGTTAACTAAATGAGATAAACTTAAATTATATATAGTTTAACTCATTAGGTTCATGAGTCAACTTGATTATATATGTGAAAGATTATATTGTCTTTAAGAGTAGGTTTAAATATTTACTTTCCTATATTGTCCATTTCATAGTGGTTAGAGTGGTAAAGTTGACAATTGCATTTAGAGTCCTCCTTATTAGAGACATTATGGCATTTGCGAAAAAATAACATGTGTAATAAAGGTTGCAAGTGGTGTAATCTTTATGGGATAGACATTTATAAATTTTTAATAATTTTTTTTGTACTATTTCATTAAATTTATAAGGTTTCTAAATATTTAGATTAAGTTGTCGATTTTTTGGACAAAGTTAAACTCTAATCGAGTAGTTTTTGAATTAGACTTTTAAATGTATCTCTTGAAAGTTATGTAATTTTTGAGTTAGTAGATTTTTGAAACAAAACTAAATTCCACACTGATAAACTTTTTTTTCAATACTTTCTTTAAAAAAATATTAATTTAAAATGTCAAATATATAAAAACAAATAGACTTAAAAAATGATTTTTAAAACCGTGAAACAAGTGAGTTGAATTTTACAAAATGAGCATAATAAATTGAACTGAATTGTTCGTGCACTTATCACGAGTCGAGTTTGAGCTTTAAAAAAATTGTGTCGAACTCGAACCGAAATTTGAACTGGACCAATTTTTAACGAATAGAGCCGAGATGAAATGAGTTTGACTCGACTCGACTCATTTCCAAGTCTAATGACACATCATTTTAAAATGGACACATTATATATTTTAAGTGTTAAATTAATAGTTATGATCAAAATTATTTGATTTAAAATAGAATGATTAATTTAATAAATAAAATAAAATTGGGGATCAAATTATAATTAAGTCAATTTATTAATAGTTTGAAAAGTGCAGTAATGTTGGGCTCATATAATTTGTCTTAAATAATTAAAATGGGATAATTTCGTGAAATGAATAAAATAAAAGGATAAATAAATATATATATATATATATATATATATATATATATATATATATATATATATATATATATATATATATATATATATATATATATATATATATATATATATATATTATAGTGTTTACATAATTATTTAATAGTACTTACATAATATTCAATATTCAATATTTATTAATTAAATATGAAATAAATATTTATTTATTAATAATATAACATTAATATTCATTAAATTAATTATAAAAAAGAATATGAATAAATAAATAAATAATATAAATAAATCAATGAATAATAATTTCAATATGTCATAATATTCAACAAAAAAATTAAAATTTATTACAAATGATGGAAACATAATAATTAATGCTCTAAGTGTTTGCTCACGTGAGAAAGACCATCTAATATGTTTGGACGACGGCTTAACGTTTGACGAACTCTTTCTTGAGGTTGTTTGTCATCGTCATCTTGGTATTGTATATCAAGATATAGTGTCAGGTGTTTAGTACGTGTAACGTTTGATGTTTAGGAAGAACTATTTCCACCTTAAAAAGGTAACTCGAGTTATTGTTATTGTGATTTCCACACCAAATACAACTAAGTAACTTATTTTCATTTGAATAAAAGGAAAAACGACCAAACGGCTGACTCATTTATGTGTTATTAAAATTTAAATTACTACATGACGTGAACTCGTGTTATAGTTAAGTTGGTGAATTGTATATGTATGAGTTATATTTCTCAATAAGTTGTATGTATCATCAATTTTTGGAGATGTGATTGTTGTTGATTGTTAATAGATTTGGGGACTAAAGTAGGGTAGTTGTCTGAATGTTGGCATGTGAATGTTAGGTCGAAGAGTTATGGTGGAAGTTCGTTACGGTGAAAACTAGGCACTAAAGTAGGTTATATGTTAGAGTGTTTACATGTAATAGTCTAGTAGTGGTCGTTGTTGGATGTTGAGAAAAAAAATGGCTAAGTTAGTTAGGCGTTAGGGTTATGTGTATGTAGTATGCATTATAATCTTAACTAATGAAGAGAAGCATGTTACGAGATTGTAGAAAAAAGAAAGACAAAATACCACTTTTAGTCCCTTAACTTTACCTCGAGATCCATTTTGGTCCTTTAATTTTCAAAAGGACTAATGCGGTTATTTATGTCTTCAAACAACATCACTTAAGTACTTTATGTTTAATTCTCACAAATGGCGTCTGTGTTGGCACTGATAAGGGACAAATTGTGTTAATTATTTGTATAAATTAGTGGCACTCATTAACTTGGTTCATTGGATTTGCAAGTCAGTCCCCCAACTTTTGGGAAAATATAACTTTTTAGTTTCATCATGTAAATATTGTGAAGATTGATCATTTTGCATCTAATTATGTAGTTTTGTTACATTAGAAGAGCTTTGGATGCTAAAAGGCAAAAGAATGGCTTCTACATGCAATTTTGGATCAAGAGCATGTCTGCAAGTGGGGCTAAGCGGAGTGTAGTGGCGCTAAGCGCCAATTAAGACAGTTTGCTTCTCTTGTCCTCTAGTCACGCTAAGCGCGGTCTGATGAGGCTTAGTGCGGTGTTCTTTTTCTATCTTATATAAAAGCCTTCTCACTTCTTTTTTAAAGGGTGAGACACCAACTTTGGGCACCAAATACACCAAAAACT